CCGCCAAGGAGGTTATGTTTTCGCCCCTGTTCGTTTGTACCTCCGCCAAGGAGGTTATGTTTTCGCCCCTGTTAGTTTGTTACGGCCGCCAAGGAGGTTATGTTTTCGCCCCTGTTAGTTTGTTACAGCCGCCAAGGAGGTTATGTTTTCGTCCCTGTTAGTTTGTTACCTCCGCCAAGGACATGCATGTGTGTGCGTGTGTGTGCGTGTGTGTGTGCGTGTGTGCGCGCGCGTGTGCGTACGTATGGACGTGCGTGCGTGCGTATGCTTGTGTGATGTGCGTGTGCGTGTGAGTGCTTGCGTGTGTGCGTAGGTATGGACGTGCGTGCGTGCGTGCGTGCGTATGCTTGTGTGATGTGCGTGTGCGTGTGAGTGCTTGCGTGTGTGCGTAGGTATGGACGTGCGTGCGTGCGTGCGTGCGTATGCTTGTGTGATGTGCGTGTGCGTGCGAGTGCTTGCGTGTGTGCGTAGGTATATAGACGTGCGTGTGCGAACGAGCGTGTGTTTGTGTGTTTGTGTGTGCGGGTGCGGGTGCTCGCGCGTGTGTATGTGGACGCACACATAATCGTCGGTAAGACAATAACAGATATTAACAGATATAACAGCGGGTTATATTTATCTTCACTAGCCAGCTCAATCCGTGAAGCCCTTTTCTACGCAACAGCAGCGGATCGAAACTCTTGCAGGACGAACCACAGTTGCTGAGCGAAGGGCTATAGACATAACGCGGAATCCAAAGCGTGATGCTACGAGAAAAGTCCAGAGAATTCCTTCTATATAAAGGGACTCTAAGCTGTCGGAACGCGAGGAAAGGGAAAGTGGCGCCATCTATAGGCATCGTGGCCTTACTTTCCTCGGCTGTGCAGAAGCCCGAAGCTCCGTCTCGGAAGCAGCGATACCCAATACTGACCCCCTCATAGAAAAAATTCAAAAATTCATATCATTTCTGACAAACAATCTACACCTTTCCAACTCTTAGTCATTTAAACAAAGGTCTGATTAATTGTCATTTATCGACTGCGATGTGTAACAATCACACGTACGAATCACGATTAATTACATCAATTACCTTGGGTTGATCAATTAATCAATTGATTAATCAATTAATCACCAGAAACGAGTGTTTGATTATCATGATCATGATTGATCATATCTGTGTATTCTCGATAGTTATCTTATTAGATAGATATCGAACATTGTGTCCGTTTTTACAATCGCTGGGATATATTAAGATTGCTTTTGTTCTGACCTACTGTATAAGCTGTATATTTCGCGGTGGTCTAATTTTCGCGAATTTCGCGAACGCGTTCCCGACGCGAAAATAACAACACGCGAATAATTCATACCGAATAATTCATAATTCATCGACCGCAAAATTAACCACTCGCGAAGTCTGAATTCGCGAAAACATCTGTACGCGAAAAATATGGCGTATACAGCATTTAAAACATTCTTGACGTTGCTCGTGTTGTAGAAGCGTAGCAG